AACAGCCGTGTTCCAGTCGCTTATTCAGATCCGTATCCAAGGCGTATTGAATACGCCTTGTCCGTATCTATTACGATAAATTCTCACGGAAAAGATAATGTGCAAAAACCCCTACTGTAAAGGAAAAAAAAATTCTAAACCGAAAATTCAATACAAAACTTGAATTGTTTTAACCATAACCGAACACTTGTTTGTGTATATATTCATTTGTCGGTGCTGTCAATTAAAACTTCCACACTTAATTAGGAAACAAAACAAACAGTTGATCCCAAATTAATCCAGATTTCTATCAGCATCATATCGATGTTGAATTTGAGTAACTTTTCTTTATCCAAATAATGTAAAATAATAAATGAAATCGATCACTGAAACGCAGCTAGCGACTGCATAACAGAATAATGCGCGCGTGGTTTTAATTACAAAATGAAAAGAACAATTACGATAAAGTTTCCTTTAACAGTTTTAATATTTTTAATAAAAAAATAGGTGCGAACTACGTAAGTAAAAAAAAAGTACCAAGCACTGGTAATGGTTTTTGATTTGAAGTGTTATTACATTGGTATAAATATGGGAAAGAAAATACTCCGATTTATTGTTTTAATATTATCAAAGTGACAAGGCCGTTGATAATACTCACAATTTATGAAACTTCAGAAAATTTTATTATCCGTCGAAAGTTGTTTATTGAAATTACCTTCTTTTTTGTATCATGTTATGTACATCAGCTGAAAAATAAACTAATCGTCTTTATTTTGACATCATTAGTTTTGGAATTGGTTATGTAGTTCATAAGATTATTTAAAAAAATAAAAATAAAGTGATTCAACCTTTTATACGTACTTTATATTTTTGCGCAAAAAAATGTTGGTGCAGTTGAAACCAGCGTGAGAAGTTCTATCGAGCCACTTTTTTGGTTTTTTTTGCATAGCTAAATGGTTTATATTCTACACTTATACTTGTCTTACGACGATCCAAACGGCAACGTTTAAGCATTAACTTTTCACTAACAATCGACTTCTTAATTTTGCAAACTCTCATTTTTTGTTTTTTAGAAAATTTTCATATTCAACGGGGTGAGATTTCTTTAAATGTGTGTAATAATTTCCGTGTGTATTGAAAGTGGACGTACAAAACAGGCACGTATAGTTACTTTCACCAGTATGCTGAGCCATGTGATCCTGAAAATAATTTTTACATATATTATAGGTATATTAGTATAGAAAGCAGTAACAAATCAATAAATATTATTACAAATTTCCTTACGTTTAAATTGCGCGGTCTCTTGAAAGTTTTATTGCATATTTTGCAAGGATATGTCGTTTTGGGATGAACGCGCAGCATGTGGTTGGTAATAGAGGCCCTACTTTTATACTCTCCTCCGCATACTTCGCATGTAAATAATTTATCTTTATTTTTGGAGTGAAACCTTCGGAGATGCAGGCGTAAACAATCCTCGTCTTTAAGCCAGTGATCACAACCATCTACTGTGCACTTGACTTTCGGTCCACTTTCTTCAAAATGCAAGCGCACATGCTTTTCAAAAAACGCCTTGGTTTTTATTTTTTTGGCACAAACATGACATACGAAGGATGTGTGGTGATGGACCTTTTTATTGTGAATTAGCAACATCGTCTTACAGCCAAAGCGACTATTGGGACATTGGTCGCATATGAACGTTCGCTCGTTCATTGGTACATGCGTGCTACGATGAAGATCCAGCCTTACTTTCCGTGCAAACTTTTTAGGGCATACGTCGCAGATAAAAATTTGGTCTTTCTCTGGTGCATGATGGTCAAGCATGTGCCGCGATAGGGTCCCTAAATCATTAAAATCTTTCTGGCATTCTTGGCACCTAAAACCGATAAAAAATGGTAATAATTAGCTGATATTCTATTGATATCAAACATACATACTTAAGAAGCTCGGGATCGTCGTGCTTGTAGGCATGGTGTACAATTGACATCCAGTGAAGCCATTTTCTGTTACAGCATTTCACATAGGGTTTTGTATTTGGATGAGCTAATCGAAAGTGGTTTCTCAGCAAGGAGAAGTCGTCGCAATCGAAAATACACTCGTTACATCTCATAGGAATGTATTTCTTTACCAATTCATCATCTTTGCATGTAGTTTTTACACCACGTTTTTGTCTCAACTCAGCAATTTTTTTTTCCGACACTGTAAGTTTCTTTTGATTTTTAGCAGATTTTGTAGTATTTTCGGAATGCTCTTTGGCATCATAATTCAATAAAGATGCATCTATAATAGGTTCCGTAGACTTCTCTGTTAAAAGTTCAGGTTCCTGGGCATCACAAGTCGATAAGGATACGTCTGTGTATGTTTTTTTTCCTTGGCACGAAGCTTTTATCCGTTTTTTTCTCAAAATAGGATGGTTTTTCTTTGTCGTTGTAAGTCTCTTTCGATTTTTGACAGGTTCTGTAGACTTGTTTGTTAATAGGGCAGAGTTCTGTGCATTACAAAACGATAAAGATGCGTCTGTAATAGGTTCCGTAGGCTTTTCTGTCAGAAGCGCAGGATCCTGGGCATCGCAAATTGTTAAGGATGCATCTGTAAATGTCTTACTTATTTCTTTATATGAGCCTTTTAAAGGTTTTCGTCCCGAACTAGGAAGTTTTTTCTTTGTCGTTTTACGTCTCTTTCGATTTTTAACAGATGTGTTTGTTAATAGAGCAGGGTCCTGTGCATCTGTAAAAGCATATTTTATATAAATAAACATTTACTATAATGCGTTGTTTTTATTTAATTATATTATCACCTCCTGAACGATTTAAATGTTCCACATCGTTACTTAATTTATCGTATTCTTCATTTAAATAGTCACTGTCATCTATATCAGCAATTAGTTCGGTAAATGAACTATTTTGTTCATTTTTTATACTGATACTCAAGCATAGATCTCCGGAAAGCTCTTTTGCGTTAACGTCGCTTTTGATAAGCTCAAGTTCAACGGATTCCTTTCGTTTCCTTATTCCGGAGCAAGGCGCTTCTGAAAACTCTTCAGCATTGTATTCGATTTCGATAAACTCAGGATCCGCAAATTCCTTTTGTGGCTCAATTGTGGAGCTGGGCGTAATAGAAAACTCTTCTTTGACAAGGTCATTTTCGATAAACTCATTGCCAACGTATTCCCGGACAAACTCCTTTTCCACATTACTAGCACTAAGTTTAGAATGAGCCTCTTCTATCTCTACATAGAATTGGTGGAAGTTGTATACTTTCGACCAGCAAATTGTACATATAGCTGGGGAAATTCGATCATCAGGACGGGGCTAAAAATATTAAGTTACATTTCAATTTATTATGAAATAAAAAGTACCTTAAACCAAAAATGGCGTTCTAGTATATGAGCGATGTCCAACTTTTTGCCATCCGAATCAAAAATATTCAGAAAGCAAAGAGATTCCTTTACACAGAGACGGCATAACATTTTTTTTTTGGTTTTGGGTTGTGTTGGCAAAGCGGAGCGCCTCATAAGCCAGGTTATTCCTCTAAATTTCGAAACGGATCATTCGCTGCTTATTAAGATTGCCTTGCTGCTACTAGTATCCTGGGTTTTTAATTTCCTTGCTTCTTTGGTTAGTTTTCTACGGCATACTATAATGATTCTTGAAAAAATTGTAAAAAGTAAACAATGAATAGGAATGAAGCGATGCGAGTAAATACAAGTACATACTCGATACTTTTCGATCGATACCAAGTAATTTTGGCATCGATACTTTTGATACTGTGGCGAATACTGCGGCAACACAAAGCGAACAACGAGAAATAGGCAGAATGTTAGAGGAATGACGTAGAATGTTCCACAAAGAGAAACGTCAAGTTGGATGAACACTGCGGACAGCGAGAGAAAGAGAATGAGCGGTGAACTTCAGAAGCACATTTAACTGATTAAAACATAAATTGTTTTTAAATTGGATGTTTACATAATTCTCATAGTAGTTTTATTTTAATTTTGAGTCCTTTTGCAGTTCACTTCATTTTGCTTTGTAATGTCTCAATAATTGTTTAAAACCACGCAGAAATATTAACTCACAAATATTAAAATTGTTATTTGGTTTTTTCGTATGCTCACAATTAACAATTGCACCAAGTTTACGTCACGCACACAGCTGATTCTGTCAAAATCACAAAGCGGATTAGCGATAGGCGCAATCTCTATTTCTCTCAATTGTGAGTAGTGAATGAAAACAAGCTTAATGTGCATGATTGAATAATACAAGGTTAAATAATTATTGACAGCCGCGGCTTGACACTCCCTTACAAAAGATTGATTTTACGAAGGAAGGGGAAGAATGCAATCCCTTGTTGCGAAAATGGTAGTAGAAAAGTACGCAAAAACAAAATATTGAACGAATTATTAATATATCTACGTGAATAACGTAATTTATGTGCTATTTAGCTGTATAAAAACTGTAAAAGGACTCAAAATTAAAATAAAACTACTATGAGAGTTATGTAAACATACAATTTAAAAACAATTTATGTTTTCATCAGTTAAATGTGCTTCATATGCATATACAAATAAATATATTGCACAAAAGCTTACTACTTCTATTTCACAGTAAAGCTAAACATTTTCCAAGTAAATTTGCACAGAAGCAACACGGTGCCACTGCTAAGGGAGCGGTGCGGGAGAGTTTATTGAACCTTGTATTATTGAATCATGTAGCAGTGCAAGTATGCATAATAGGGAATTTAAGCCTGATATACAGTTCAGTGCGAACGCGAGCGTGAGCTTTATATTTTAACCAATATCTTCGTTATTACTAACTTTTTGCAATAGTTGATACATATGAGCAAATAATTTGATGTTTTCATTATATAACCTCAAATATCGCTAAAAACCGTGTTTTTGGCACTTTGGGGTTAGGATATCTCAAAATTTTAGTGCTAGAGCAATTGTGAGGCCCGATTTGGGTTCCGCACCAAGAAACGATGTGTTTTACTCAGGTGGTAAAAAAAAAATTTGTACAAATAATTAAAAAAGAAAAAAAGAAATACTTAACTTACTTGCGTACTAGCATTTTGAACGCGAATAGAATTTAGCAAGGTGGGTTAGCAATTTCAGCTTTTTATCAATCATGGTTGTATTTTAGTCCATTTAAATTTGTAGATTCTTATAAATTCAGTGCTGCCACAGCTTTAAATATTCAAATTATTTCAGGTTTTAACTATCTCGAAGTAATTTTAGTTCAGAAAAAAGCACTAAAAAAGGCACTAAATAATTTTTTTTTGGCGTTTTAATTTTCAAAAAGCAGCAGCAGGTTGAACTCCTACCTGTGTAGGTTGAATGAGGATGTGCCGAATGAGTGTCCGGCATGCGGAGAGACCCCACATGACTCGAAACATCTATTCGCATGCCCGGAAAACCCGACAACCCTAACGGCCTTGTCCCTGTGGACAAACCCCACAGAAGCTGCACGCTTCCTAGGGTTGCCGTTGGTGGAACTTGACGACAACGACTGAGATACCAACCGTCCTGGGGGCGGTGTTGTAGCCGCTACAACAACAACAACAACAACAACAACATGTGAAATTTAGTTGAAACATTTTAGCCGTTTTTATTTGCCAATTTAGCCGGTTCGCCCAAAAAGTTCTGGCAACACTGGTGAGTGTAGTGATTGTAACAGTTTTTATTAAACCAAAGTCATGATTTTCTTACCTTAAAATAAAATACTGAACATTAGAACTGCTTTCTATCAAATAAGCGCGCAGCTTAACTTTTTAATCTTAGAACACTTGTAGTGTTTGTTTTTTTAAGATCATTTTTTCGCCAATTTTCATATTCAACAGTATGCAAATTCTTTAGATGTGTGTAATAATTTCCGTTCGTATTAAAAGTAGACGTACAAAATGCGCATTTGTAGTTTCTTTCACCGGTATGCTGGGCCATATGTTCCTGAAACATTTTTTGCATATCTTTAGCCTTTTCCCGTACTCCAGGATTTACAGGATTTGCAGGTTTTACAGGAAAATCTTTTTTCGCCTTTATTAAACCATATGTGAACGTGACGAACGCGAACAGCTTCCTGTAAAACCTGCAAATCCTGGAGTAGGGGAACAGGCTACATCTATCGTCGGTGATAATTCAAAACGGTATATTTCAATTAGTACATTACACAAGTGTTCTTACATGGCATTTATTTGCACGTATACATGTCACTTTTTACGTATCGCACACCGTCATCAGAAGGGGCACAACTCAAAACTACACGTTTGTTAGAAAATGTGAAAAATTATTTCTTAGAACACGATAAGCATATCGTCACCCTACAAATTTATCAGTTTTGAGTTATTGGGTTGACTTCATTAACCTTTGGATGTTCTATGTTATACCACAACCCAGAATACTATGCGTACACGGAAACCACGTATTTCACAATTTCAATTGCATAAATGTAGTAATGTTTCTGGCATACGGGCGACGATATGGGCAAATGAGACTTTACCTCAAGTTTTTTTTAACAAATTAAAACAAAAATTTGGTATAACTTTCTCTGAAAGGTAAATAAAAGCTCTGAGTACATTTTTAGCGCATAATTTCAAAAATGACAAATTTTGAGTTCTGCCTCTTTTGAAGACGGTGTGCGTTAAGGAATGTAGATGGTATTATGTTAATTTAAACACCTGAGGCAATTGCCGAAAAACGTGTAGCAGTATCACCGACGATATGTATTGAAGCAGTTTAAGCGGTTTAAAATTAATGAGATAACAAATATTGTTAATTTGCTAAAAAGACTATCACAACTCAAATATCGAAACTTTTCAGGAGCCGCGTTTGAAGTTTTAAACTTAGATACATACTTTCAAAATGGAGAAAATACTCTCTCAGGGCACTATGCCTAATAAGCGCAAAAATAATGTATGAGAGTTGTGAAAGTCCTTTAGTAAATGATAGTTATATCCTCACCCTTAGCCTCCATGCTGTTTTGAAAATTTTATTGCATATATCACAAGGATATGTCTTTTTGGGATGAACGCGCAGCATGTGGCTAGTCATAGCGGCCCTACTTTTATACTCTCCTCCGCATACTTCGCATGTAAAAACTTTATCTTTATTTTTGGAATGACGCCTGTGGATATGTAGGCGCAAATTATCCTCGTCCTTAAGCCAGCTATCACAACCTTCAAATGTGCACTTGACCTTCGGACCGCTTTCTTCAAAATGCAAGCGCACATGCTTTTCAAAAAAGGCTTTCGTTTTCATCTCTTTGCCACAAACATGACAAACAAAAAAAGATTTACGACGATGGACCTTTCCTATGTGAGCTCGCAACAAGGCATTACTAAAATACCGACGATTGGGACACTGCTCACATATGAAAGTTCGCTCGTTCATAGGTGTATGTAAGTTTTGATGGATTTCCAGCCTCCTTTTCCGTGCAAACTTTTTTGGGCATAGATCGCAGGTAAATATTTTATCTTTCTCTGGTGCATGGAAGTCCGCCACATGCTGCGATAGACCTTTTTGATCAGCGCAAATTTTATGACAATCTTGGCATCTGAAATCGATAATGAATTGTTATAATAAACTGTTATTCAACTGATGCCAACACATACTTAAAAATCTCAGGATCGTCGTGTTTATGGGCGTGATGTACAATTGACAACGAGTGCAGAAATTTTCTATTACAGCATTTGACATATGGTTTTATATTTGGATGATCTAACCGATAGTGCTTTTTCAGAGTTTCAAAGTCTGCGCAATCGAAAATACATACGTCACAGCTCATTGAAATGTATTTTTTTACCAGTTCATCTTCATTACATTTGATTTTACCACGCTTTTGTCTCAACTCAGCAAGTCGCAACTCAGCAAGTTTTTTCTGTGACATTGTAAGTTTCTCTGAATTTGTAGCAGTCTTTGTATACTTATTTGGGAGCTTTAGTGCATCACAATTCGATAAAGATGCACCTATAACCGGCTCTGTAGATTCCTGCAGTGAAAGTTTCTCAGTATCGCAATTCGTTAAAGATGCGTTTACATGTTCTGATTTCTTATGCAGTTCAGGTTCCTGTGGATTACAATACAATAAGGATGCATCTGAAACAAGTTCTGGAGGCTTCTGTAGGGCAGGTTCTTGAGCATTACTATTCAATAAAGATCCATCTGTATATATTTTGCTTTTTTCAATCAAATTGCGTTTTTCTCTCAACTTGGGAAGTTCTTTCTTCGTCGTTGTAAGTCTCTTTCGATTTTTTTTTGGTTCTGTAGACTTTTTTGGTAACAGTGCAGTTTTCTGTGTATCACAATGCGATAAAGATGTACCTGCAGATATTTCTTTTTTTTCATTACACGTAGTTTTCGGAGCACATTGATTTCGCAACTTAACTACTTTTTTCTCTGTGGCTGTAACTCCCTTTCGATTTTTATCAGCTTCTGTATCAATTTTTATTTTTGAGGGGGAAGGCTCATGTGCATTACAAAACAATAAAGATTCATCTATTCTTACCTGAGAAACAACTAAAATGTTCATCGTCTTCGGTGTTTAGTTTATCGCATTCTTCGTCACGGATATCTATTTCAGAAAATTGTTCGGGTAAGTTATGTTGATTACTTTGCGCTGCGTCATTTGAGTAAGGATCTTCGCAAAAGTCATAAGAATTAACATCGACTTTGGAAAACTCAAGATCCATGGATTCATTCCGTTTCCCTATTCTGGAGCAAGGAATTTCTCGGAACTTTTGGGCACAGTCGTCGATTTCGATAAACTCAGTGCCCACGGATTCTTTTCCAAACGGCTTGCCAATCATAGAACAATTGGTAACAGAAAACTCTTCCTTAACAACGCCATTGTCGATAAACTCATTGCCTACGTATTCATGGACAAACTCTTTCTCTACGTTACTAGCGCTAAGCATAGAATGCGCCTGTTCTATAGTCACATAGAATTGGTGGAAGTTATATACTTTCGACCAACACATTGTGCAAATAGCTGGGGACATTCGATCATCACCGCGGGGCTATAAAAATTAAGTTATGGTAAAATTGAATGAATTACGATATAAAAATACCTTAAACCAAAAGTGACGCCCGAGTATATCGGCGATGTCGAATTTTATGCCATCCGAATCAAAAATATTCAGAAAGCAAAGAGATTCTTTTAGACATAGACGGCATAACATAGCACAGGAGATTTGGAAAATGCAAGCTCAATGAAATGAATTGTAAATTTCAGAAAAATAAACAGTAGTGCTGAAAGATACATCGATGTAATATCGATACATCGATATTGTTGAATTTATTTCAAAAATCGATGTTTTTTCGATCACGATTGAGAGAAATAGATGGTCTGTTCCAATAGCAGTCCGGTTTACAGGATTAAGGGCCGTTTGCACCATGTCTAGTTAATTCTAACTACCAGTTAAACATCTTTATCGACGTTATCGACACCCATCATATAACATGTGATCGATAAAGCAGTTAACGAGCTTAACTGAAGGATGTACCTCCAGTTAGCGTTAACTAGACATGGTGCAAACGGCCCTAAGGGTCTGATTATGCATACTTTGCACAACCATTTGCACAAGTGCACTAAAAATGTAACTTAAGGAAATGCTAACCAAAATCTAAACTCAACAGATCGCTAAGTTCTTAAAAAGTTCTGCTAATTTCTGGGTACAAAATACATACAAAGTACATACGAAATTACAGTTTGAAGTTTATGCGAAGTTATGCGAAGTATGCATAATCAGACCATTAGTCAGAACTTACAGGAAGTCGTTCCTATTGACATAAAACTGTAAGTGGGAACACTTTTGAGAGAGTAACTGAGACACTGTTCCTAGTCAGAAGTTACAGGATTTAGTCCGGAGTTTTTTTCCTGTAAGTTTATGAAGTGTCAAACGGTCAGCTGATTTACATGTGCAAACAAATAGTCTATTCCTTTGAACTTCGGACTAAGACCTGTGGAACTGTCAAACTACAATTTTACTCTCTCAAGTGAGAGTAAAAGGAGAACAGATGCAGAAGTGCACGGGAACGCAAAAAGCACTATTTCCTGTAAAAACGTCAGTCGGTTTGTTTACATGTCATTGGTACAAAACTGATTTGGCTCAAATATCACTAAATAATTATTAATTGTATAGGTTATATTCAAATATTTCGTTCTTTACATCCATTTTTTAACAAATATAAGGTTATTTGCTTTCACCGCTTTCTGTTTTTGTTTGCACATGCAAATCAGCTGATCGTTTGACACCTTTCAAGAACTTACAGGAAAAAAACTCCGGACTAAATCCTGTTACTTCAGCTGACTAGGAACAGTTGCTCAGTTACTCTCTCAAAAGTGTTCCCACTTACAGGTTTTATGTCAATAGGAACGACTTCCTGTAAGTTCTGACTAAATCCTGTAAACCGGACTGCTATTGGAACAGACTATATATTTGATAAAAAATGAAAGTAAACAACGAAATATTTGAATATGTATAGTTTTTAATAATTATTTAGTGATATTTCAGCAAAATCAGTGTTGTACCATTGACATGTAAACAAACCGACTGACGTTTTTACAGGAAATAGTGCTTTTTACGTTCCCGTGCACTTCTGTATCTGTTCTCCTTTTACTCTCACTTGAGAGAGTAAAATTGTAGTTCGACAGTTCCACAAGTTTTAGTACGAAGTTCAAAGGAATAGACTAAAGGCTCCGTTATGCATACTTGGCATTGCTTGAGAGTTGTCACATAAGGAATCTGTTAAATGAGCTTCGCGTGTAAGCGGTTACCATACGCACAGCATTACATACGTAAAAGTCTGTTGGTTTTTGATTTCTACGTAAAAATGGTATAGCAGTGCATGCAATGCCAAGTATGCATAACAGAGCCTTAAGAGATTCAGCCTACCGCGGTACCGCTAATCCGCTCTTTGTGATTTTGACAGAATCAGCTGTGTGCGTGACGCCATCTTGGTGCAATTGTTGATTATGAGCATACGAAAAAACCAAATTGTAGTGACGTGATTAAGAAGGCGATGAAATATAATAGCGCCGGTTATTCCTGGCAACGACTATTTATTTCTATAGGAAAAAATGTATATGAATTTAATACAATATATAAAATTTACCTAATTTACGAACACTACAAATATACTCACCGCAGTTTTGCGCCCTTCCTCTGCTATATTCACGACACTACTAAATTTATCATTCGGGAGTGCAGCGAATAGAGCAAAGGAAAGTTCGAAAATAGCGGTGAGCTTTCATCGATAACAAGTAAGAAAGTCTAAGTTCGGGTGGAGCCGAACATTAAATACCCGGCGCAAGAATAAAATATATGTTTTTTCAACTTTCCGAAACCTACCGCTAGATGGTAAGCCGGGGTGTATCAATTTTAAGTAAATTAGCGTCCTTAAATTTCGAAATATTGCAGTTTCAAGCATTTCTGAAATTTACCATTATATGAAAAGCGGCCGTAATTTTAGTCCGATTACAATAATTTTCAACGTTTTGCTTTTATGTGGAAAGCACAATAAAAATGCCGAGTTTGGTACAAATTGGTAGAACGGTTACCGATATACATATATGAGATCATAAGTGGGCGGTGCCGCGCCCATTTTAAAAAATTTTACCATTAACGTATTTCTTGGTAAAGAATTGTTGCAACCATCAATTTTGAATAAATTAGCTTTAATATTTACTGATTTATCGAAGATTTTGTATTTCTCTAAATTACCGTTATAGGGGATGTGGGCGTGGTTATTGTCCGATTTTTTAAATTTTCGGCCATTTAGTATGCTGTACCAAGGCCGACAACTGTGACAAGTTTGGAAGAAATTGGTGCAGCGGTTACCAAGATATCCATATGTAACCATAATTGGGCGTGCCTACGCCCATTTTCCAAAAAATTTATATTCTTATTTTTCGTCTAAAAATTGTTGTAAATATCAATTTTGAGTGAATAATGTTTAGTATTAATTACTAAAATATCGCAGTTTTCGTATTTCTGGAAATTGCCGTTATATGGGAAGTGGGCGTGGCTACAGTCCGATTTCGCCCATTTCCAATACCAACCTACCCTGGATTAACGGAAACCTACATACCAAATTTCGTTGAGATATCTCAATTTTTGCTAGAGTTATCGTGTACACGGACGGACGGACAGACAGACATGGCTTAGGGCCGGTTACTCAATGTCTGGTTAACACTAATCTCCGGTAAAACATCGTTATCGACGTTACCGACTCCATGTTATGTGCATGGAGCCGAACACGTCGATAATGATGTTTAAACGGAGATTAGTGTTAACCACATATTGAGTAAACGGCCCTTAATCGATTTCTCTATTCATTCTGAGCATTTATGTATACATTTGTCTATATCTATCTCGATTCGTTTTGGCTTTTACAAACAACCGTTATGTGAACAAAATTAATATACCCATGTGCACAAGTGCGCTCGGGTATAAATATTTAAAGCATCAGGGATGGGCGTTTTGCAACACCCCTGTTAGGCACCCTGTAATATATTCTTGTAGGTGGCAACGCTGCCACCAACCAACTGATGGACAGCAGCTAAGTTGAAAAATGAAAATTCTCTATATACATCGATGGAAGCTTAAGCGAAGCGCACGAAATATACAAGTGTAAACGAGCCATACAACGTATCATTTTATATTCAAACGATAGATTTAAATTAAATGTTTTTAAGCTTCAATAAACTAGCACATATAAACGTTAGCAAAGTTTTATTTAATTTCCGTATTTTAACGTTGTTTGCACAAATCACCGAAAAGAAATTAATTTTTTCCCTAAAAATCTATTTACAAAAAAAATCTAACACCAATAAAGTTTTATAATTGAAAATCTAACAAAATATTACTAAAATCGAAAAAAGCTGTATAACATTTTAAATTTATTTTCACGGTATTTTTAGAAATCCCGGAAAAAAGGATTTTTTTTTTATCAAAAAATGTTTTCACAAAAAACACAAACACTCAAGGGAGTTTTCTATTTGCAATCATTAATAAAATATCACAAAAATCGGAAAACGTTATATAATATTTTCGATTTAATTTCATGTTACTTGTACAAAACATGATAAAAGCATGGTAAGGTAAAACCGTTCTCTGAATGCGTCGGCCATGATTTTTTTTTTGAAGTTTGCCAACATTTTAAAATCGTATAAATTTGAGAGTAAAAAAAGGAATTGTTCAAAGTAGTTGTTGTTTGAGATTGAAAATGAGAATGTGTAAAATTTTTAAATTAAATGCTTGCAAACGTCAAGAATTTGAAAAATTGCTCTCAGCGGTTCTACCTTCCTGCTAGTGTGCTCAGGCCCATTGAGATCGATAGAGATGATTAAGCTGAACATAACGGTATATTTTTCTTTTCGCGGAAACAACAACTACAAAAGTTATTACGGGTCAAAGTTAAAATTAAATATCTTTTAAATCAAGATATTTTAAAAACGAATGCATGGGTTTTAAAAATTTCGGATATTTTTTGATAGGAAATTTGATTCCCTTTAATCTGATATACATATAACCCTCACTAAGTAGAATTCTCCTTTCTGTGTTGCCCCAGAAGAGAAGCGGAACTTCTTTCTGCGTACATTAATTCGGTTTTTGTGAAAACTAAACAAGGCATATATAAAGTATGTATATTAAATTAAAGGGAATTAAATTTCCTATCAAATTAGACCTTTTAAATTAAAACTTTTAAAATCCATGCATTCGTTTTTAAGAAATTTTGATTTAAACAATTCTTTAATTTGAACTTTGACCCTTAATAACTTTTGTATTTGTTGTTTGCGCAAAAACAAAAATATGCCGTTATATCCAGCTTAATCATCCCTATCGTTCTCAATATTATTTGTTTTTTTTTTTTTGAGAACCGGAGCTATTCTGCACATATGCCCAAATTTTGCCAACTTCTGTAAATTTAACAGAAATGCAACTCTGAGAAATCACGCACGCAAATTGATTTCGGTTACTCAAATGTGAAAAACTTGCGTACGTGCATAGAAAAACTCACGCCGGTGATATTAGGTTGAGCTGTAAGTCCGAGGAATACGGGATTGCACCAAGTGTTGTCCCCACCGTGGTTGTGCACAGCACGGAGAGAATTTTCGAGCTAAACCACCCAGGACGATTTGCTGGATGAACCCATGGGGTAATAATTGCAGTGTTGCCGATTCTCCATTATTCCATAAAAATTAGTATCTAAAATACTACGTTTTAGTAACTCATTTCATCGCGAGTTTTTTTAGAAATGAGCGTTTTAAGAACATTAATATTTAAAATTGCTTTATGTGCTAAATTTTTGTCAACAAAACCCTTCAGAGCATTAAATTTTGATGATTTTATGTATGCTAACGTATAGGTGAGTGCAGTGATTGTAGCAGTTTTCATTAAACGAAAGTCATGATTTTCTTACCTTAAAATAAAATACTAAACATTAGAACTGCTTTATATCTAAGAAGGGCGCAGCTTAACTTTTTAATCTTAGAACACTTGTAGTGTTTGTTTTTTTAAGATTATTTTTTCGCCAATTTTCATATTCAACAGTATGCAAATTCTTTAGATGTGTGTAATAATTTCCGCTCGTATTAAAAGTAGACGTACAAAATGCGCATTTGTAGTTTCTTTCACCGGTATGCTGGGCCATATGTTCCTGAAACATTTTTTGTATATCTTAGCCTTTTCCAGTACTCCAGGATTTGCAGGTTTTACAGGAAAAGCTTTTTTCGCCTTTATTAAAACCGTATGTGAATGTGACGTATGGGAACAGCTTCATGTAAAACCTGCAAATCCTGGAGTACGGGAACAGGCTACATATATCGTCGTTGATACTTAAAAACGGTATATTTCAATTACCATTAACATTTACAAGTGTTCTTCCACGGTATTTATTTGCACATGTACATGTCACTTTTCACATATCGCACACCGTCTTCAAAAGGGGCACAACTCAAAATTACACGTTTGTTAGAAAATGCGAAAGACTATTTCTTAGCACATGATAATCATATCGTCACCCCGCAAATTTATCAGTTATTGGGTTGACTTCATTAACCTTTGGATGTTCTATGTTATACAACAAACCCAGCATACTATGCGTGCACGGAAACCACGTATTTTACAATTTCAATTGCATGAATGTAGCCATGTTTCTGGCATAGGGGCGACGATATGGGCAAATGAGACTTTACCTCAAGTTTTTTTTTAACAAATTATAACAAAAATTTGCTATAACTTTCTCTGAAAGGTAAATAAAAGCTCTGTGTAGATTTTTAGCGCATAATTTCAAAAATGACAAATTTTGAGTTGTGCCTCTTTTGAAGACGGTGTGCGTTAAGGAAATGCAAACATATCGTGTAAAGGAAAATTAGATTTGGTTCTGCACAGAGCAGATGCACGAAATAGTTAATTAAATACGGTGAATCTGACAGACAGATGCAATTATGTATGTATGTACCGAAAAAGTCATATTTACAGATGCAAATTCTTATCGTATTATGTAGATGGTATTATGTTATGTATTATGTTAATTTAAAAACCAGAGGCAATTGACGAAAAACGTGTTGCAGTATCACCGACGATATGTATTGAAGCAAAAAGCGGTTTAAAATTAATGAGATAACAAATCGTCGCTGGAATAATGAAATATTGTAACATAAAAAGTATAGTTTTGAGAAAAACGAATTGGAAGTTTTTACAAACCATTACAAACCATACAAATACAATTTCGTTTTTCGGGTATAAATTAGTGAGCCAAAGGGATATTTAAGAAAACTAAAGATTTTTCTAATAGATTAAAGGATTGTCTATCCAATAGTGCAATTATCGAATAATAGTGTATGGGGCATTTACACTGTTTCTTTATTCGAGCGACGAAATATTGTTAATTTGCTAAAAAGACTATCACAACTCAAATATCGAAACATTTCAGGAGCTGCGATTGAAGTTTTAAACTTACTATCAAAACATGATTCAATAATATCATGAATCATGCTTTCAATAGACAAAATACTCTCTCGGGGCACTATGCCTAAGAAGCTCAAACATAATGTATGAGAGTTGTGAAAGTCCTTTAGTAAATGATAGTTATTCCTCACCTTTAGCCTAAATGCTTTTTTGAAATTTTTATTGCATACATCACAAGGATATATCTTTTTGGGATGAACGCCTAGCATGTGATTAGTCACAGCGGCCTTACTTTTATACTCTCCTCCGCATACTTCACATGTAAAAACTTTATCTTTATTTTTCGAGTGACGCCTTTGGATATGTTGGCGCAAATTACCCTCGTCCTTAAGCCAGCTATCACAGCCTTCAAATGTGCACTTGACTTTCGGACCGCTTTCTTCAAAATGCAAGCGCACATGCTTTTCAAACAAGGGTTTCGTTTTCATCTCTTTGCCACAAACATGACAAACAAAAAAAGATTTACGATGATGCACCCTTCTTATGTGAGCTCGCAACGAGGCATTACAAGAATACCGACGATTGGGACACTGCTCACATATGAAATTTCGCTCCTTCATAGGTGTATGTATGTTTCGATGGATTTCCAGTCTCCTTTTTCGTGCAAACTTTTTTGGGCATAGATCGCAGCTAAATATTTTATCTGCATGGCAGTTCGCCACATGCTGCGATAGAGCTTTTTGATCAGCGCAAATTTTATGACAATCTTGGCATCTGAAAACGATAGTGAATTGTTATAGTAAACTGTTTTTCAACTGATGTCAAAACATACTTAAAAATCTCAGGATCGTCGTGTTTATGGGCGTGATGTACAATTGACAACCAGTGCAAAAATGTTCTATTACAGCATTTGACATATGGTTTTATATTTGGATGATTTAACCGATAGTGGTTTTTCAGGATTTCGAAGTCTGCGCAATCGAAAATACATATGTCACAGCTCATTGAAATGTATTTTTTTACCAGTTCATCATCATTACATCTGATTTTACCACGCTTTTGTCTCAACTCAGCAAGTCGCAACTCAGCAAGTTTTTTCTGTGACATTGTAAGTTTCTCTGAATTTGTACCAGTTTTTGTAGACTTATTTGGGAGATTTAGTGCATCACAATTCGATAAAGATTCATCTATAACAGGCTCTGTAGATTCCTGCAGGGAAAGTTGCACGGTATCGCAATTCGTTGCGTTTACATGTTCTGATTTCTTATGCAGTTCAGGCTCCTGTGGATTACGGTACAATAAGGATGCATCTGAAACAGGTTCTGTAGACTTCTGTAGGGCAGACTCTTGAGCATTACTATTCAATAAAGATCCATTTGTATATATTTTGCTTTTTTCAGTCAAACTACGTTTTTCTCTCAACTTCGGAAGTTTTTTCTTTGCCGTTGTAAGTCTCTTTCGATTTTTTTTTGGTTCTGTAGACTTTTTTGGTAGCAGTGCAATTTTCTGTGTATCACAATGCGATAAAGATGTATCTGCAGATATTTCTTTTTTTTCATTACACGTAACAACTTTTTTTTCTGTGGCTGTAGCTCCTTCTCGATTTTTATCAGCTTCTGTATAATTTTTTTTTTTTTTTTTTAGGGGGAAGGCTCATGTGCCTTACAAAGCAATAAAGATTCATCTATTCTTACCTGAGAAACAGTTAAAATGTTCATCGTCTGCGGTGTTTAGTTTATCGCATTCTTCATTTAAATCGTCACGGATATCTATTTCAGAAGATTGTTCGGGTAGATTATGTTGATTACTTTGCGCTGCGTCAATTGAGTAAGGATCTTCGGAAAACTCATTAGAATCACCATTGACTTTGGAAAACTCAAGATCCATGGATTCATTCCGTTTCCCTATTCTGGAGCAAGGAATTTCTCGGGAATTTTGGGTATAGTCGTCGACTTCGATAAACTCAGGGTCCAAGGATTCTTTTCCACACGGCTTGCCAATCATATAAGAATTGGTAACAGAAAACTCTTCCTTAACAACAACGCCATTGTCGATAAACTCATTTTCTACGTATTCATGGACAAACTCTTTCTCCAAGTTACTAGCGCTAAGCATAGAATGCACCTGTTCTATCGTCACATAGAATTGGTGAAAGTTATATACTTTCGACCAACACATTGTGCAAATAACTGGGGACATTCGATCATCACCGCGGGGCTATAAAAATTAAGTTATGGTAAATGTGAATGAATTAGGATTTAAAAATACCTTGAACCAAAAGTGACGCCTGAGTATATCGGCGATGTCCAATTTTATGCCATCCGAATCAAAAATATTCAGAAAGCAAAGAGATTCTTTTAGACAGAGACGGCATAACATAGCACAGGAGATTTGGAAAATACACGCTCAATGAAATGAATTGTAAATTTCAGAAAAATAAACAGTAGTGCTGAAAGATACATTGATGTAATATCGATACATCGATGTTGTTGAATTTATTTCAAAAATCGATGTTTTTTTCGATAGCAGTCCGGTTTACAGGATTAAGGGTCTGATTATGCATACTTCGCATAACTTCGCACAACCATTTGCGCAAGTGCACTAAAAATGTAACTTAAGAAAATGTGAAGCAAAATCTAGTCAGAAGTTACAGGATTTAGTCCGGAGTTTTTTTTCCTGTAAGTTTATGAAGTGTCAAACGGTCAGCTGATTTACATGTGCAAACAAATAGTCTATTCCTTTGAACTTCGGACTAAGACCTGTGGAACTGTCAAACTACAATTTTACTCTCTCAAGTGAGAGTAAAAGGAGAACAGATGCAGAAGTGCACGGGAACGCAAAAAGAACTATTTCCTGTAAAAACGTCAGTCGGTTTGTTTACATGTCATTGGTACAAAACTGATTTGGCTCAATGGCGGCCGTAATTTTAGTCCGATTTCAATAATTTTCAGCGTTTTGCTTTTATGTGGAAAGCACAATAAAAATGCCGAGTTTGGTACAAATTGGTAGAACGGTTACCGATATACATATATGTGATCATAAGTGGGCGGTGCCACGCCCATTTTCCATAATTTTACCATTAAAGTATTTCTTAGTAAAGAATTGTTGCAACCATCAATTTTCAATAAATTAGCTTTAATATTTACTGATTTATCGAAGATTTTGTATTTCTCTAAATTACCGTTATATGGGATGTGGGCGTGGTTATTGTCCGATTTTTTAAATTTTCGGCCATTTAGTATGCTGTACCAAGGCCAACAACTGTTCCAAGTTTGGAAGAAATTGGTGCAGCGGTTACCAAGGTATACTAATGTAACCATAAGTGGGCGTGGCTACGCCCGTTTTCCAAAAATTTATAATATTCTTATTTTTCGTCTAAAAATTGTTGTAAATATCAATTTTGAGTGAATAATCTTTAGTAGTTACTAAAATATCGCAGTTTTCGTATTTCTGGAAATTACCGTTATATGGGAAGTGGGCGTGGTTACAGTCCGATTTCGCCCATTTTCAATACCAACCTACCTTGGATTAACGGAAACCTACATACCAAATTTCGTTGAGATATCTCAATTTTTGCTCGAGTTATCGTGTACACGGACGGACGGATAGACGGACGGACAGACAGACATGGCTTAATCGATTTCTCTATTCATTCTGAGCATTTATGGATACATTTGTCTATATCTATCTCGATTCGTTTTGGCTGTTACAAACAACCGTTATGTGAACAAAATTAATATACCCATGTGCACAAGTGCGCTGGTATGGGCGTTTTGCAAATTTAGGATATAAAATCTCCCACACCAAAAAACTTACAATTGGTTAACGCCGCTTCGATTTTTTTACAATTGAGCAATTGTCAAAAATCTGCATTTTAATCAAAAAGTTGTTTATTGAAACTACCTTCTTTTTTGTATCATGAATCGTTCCAACCGAGGATCGAACCTGGGACTTGCAGGCTTGTAGTACGCAGCCCTCACCATTCGGCTACCATTAATGAATTTGTTGGGTGCTTTGTTTGCATATTTGTTTGCTCAGAGAGCGTAGAACACAAAGAAAATTCAAAACTAGCTGGACATCCACTTTGTCGTCGGTAATACAGTCTCCGTATACATTCAATTAAGTTCATATTCAATTTTTATTGGATTCCTATCTAAATTAGTACGGTGACTGCATTACTGATGGAAAGGTATATGTCCATGCTAGTTTTGTACTTTCTCTGTATTCTACCCTCTGAGTTTTCGTCAGTGTTGTCATCGAATATTCGCTTGATCCGAGTTAAGTTTGGGAATTAACTCTAGGACTTAAACCGGATCAGCTGCAGTTAATTTCCGAGATAATTCCGAATTAACGAGTTGATCCAGAACTACGCTGCCGTTTATTTAAGCTTTAACCTAACCTAAACAATCTTCGCATTAACTGCGAACAGCCCTTAGTTTGAAGAAATTTTGGTGTAATTTGTATATCAAAGAATATTTAATTTACTCCTCCACCATTTCGTTGCGTCCTAATTTTACGTTAAGATGGAATATGCTGGTTATTGGTTTTGTAGACTTTTCTGTTCCATAAATCGTTGGGAACTTCCATTATTTGTTTTCCGCCAATTATCCCATTCAATAGGATGAATTTTTTTCTTATGCGCGTGCATATTTGCATTGGAATTGAAAGTACGGGTACAAAAAGGGCACTTGTAGAGGATTTCACCAGTATGCTGTGCCATATGTTCCTACAAAAAATAGTTTAATAGGTATTTATTTATCATGCGACATAATAACAATTGATTGTACCCGCAAATATATCGCCCTCTTGAAGGTTTTTTTGCATACTCCACAGGTGAATACTATGTTAGAGTGTACCCGCCGCTTATGTTTGCTTAGTGCACACTGATTCTTACATTCCCGTCCACATATGTCGCACGCCACCATTTTGTCCTCTTTGGTATGCAATCTTCGAATGTGGCGCTGAAGGTTAAATTCGTCCTTTAGCCAATGGTCACAACCTTCGACTGTACATTTGACCTTTGGGCCACCTTCTGCGGAATGTGAGCGTACGTGATTCTCGAAAGACGCTTTGTCCCGTATCTCTTTAGCGCACACATAACAAACGTTAGTTGCACGTCGATGTCGCATGCAAATGTGAATTTTCAATAAGTCATTGTTAGCAAAACGACTATTGGGGCATTGGTCACATATAAATGTTCGTTCATTCATAGGTACATGTTTGTTTCGATGAAGTTCTAGCTTTTTTTGTCTTGAAAATCTCTTAGGGCATTGGTCACAATGGAAATTCATTTCCTCTTCTGGTGCATGAGCGGAAATCATATGCCGAGATAGTGTTGTTTGTTCTGAAAAAACTTTTTGGCAATCTTTACACCTGTTAAACATGTAACAATAATAAAGTACATACAAGCAGTAAATTAGTAAATTATCATACTTGAAGAATTCAGGATCGAAATGTTTATAAGCATGCTGTACTATTTCGTGTGGATGGAATAGTTTCTTATTGCAGCAGCGAACATATGATTTAATTTTGGGGTGTTGAATTCGAAAATGTTTTCGTAGTGAAACATAATCCTCGCTGATAAAAGTGCACAATTCGCAACTCATTTGTATGTATTGCCTCACCATTTCATAATCTTCTCTTGACGTTTTAATGCCCGATTTTTCTTTAATTTCTTCACGAGTGTCAAATTTTTCAGACCGAACTCGTGCAAGTACTTTTGGTTTTCTGTTAGCAGTTTTTTTAGTCTCCATGCTTTTCCGCTTTTTTTGTACTGTGCAACTTGACACAGTTTTGTCTATTAGCAAACTGAATTAAAACTTGTGCATTACTTATGCGCCCTCTTACCTTCTATGCCCTCTTTCGTATGGGTTGCTCCGGATATTTGAATATCTTCGCCCTTCGCGACGTTTTCAGTATCCAATTCACAAAATGGGTTCAACTGTTCACTCTCACTGTCGGAAGTTGCCTTATCCGAAAAACAAGATACCTCGGCAAACTCTTCCTTAATACCAACATCGGGATCGATGAATTCATTAGCTATTACTTCAGTAAATTGCTCCTTTTTAACATCATCAACACTAAGGGTAGCATGTCTCGTCTCCACTGTTACATAGAATTCATGGAAGTCGTTGACTCTCAACCAGCAATTGGAACAAATAACCGTCGATTTGTCATCTGGATGTGGCTAAAACATAACAGCTAAGATGAAAAACTAAAAATTACAAAAATCGTATTGTACCTTGAACCAAAAGTGGCGTCCAAGTATATCAGATATCCCCAGCTGCATTCCATTCTCATCGAATATGTTCACGAAACTATTGGAGTGTTTTATGCAAAGTCTGCATATCATATCTAGCAGTATCTATCTTGTACAGTAGCCTACCAAACTAAAAACAATTGAGAAATTGGCTAATAAAAATAGAGATGAGCAATACTTCCGATTTAATCGAATGTCAGATCCCAGTAATACAGTAACAAGGTCCCAGCAAAAACGACCTACAGCTAGATATACAGTTCAATGCGAACGTGAGCGTGAACTTTCGCAAAGGCAAAGAATTCCATTTGTATTCTTATGGACGCTCACACACATCTGTCAAAACTTGTCGTTCACATGCGAATGCTTTGCGTACGCACACAGTTGAGTATGAGCGTGAAAAAAGGCATATTATGCATTTTAAATTAGTTTTTATTCTATACTTCTGAAATATATTTTAATTCTCTATATTTTGATGTATCAACTATTGCAAAAAGTTAAGTAACAACGAAGATATTGGTCGAAATAAAAAGCTCACACTCACGCTCGCATTGAACTGTAATCAGGCTAAATAATAGAAGGTTGGATAACGGGCAGTTCCCTCGCTCCAGCATTCTGGCGTAGCCAGTGTTGCTTTCTTTTTTGATTTATAGATACTACTAATATAAATGGAGAAATATTAACTTCGTTTAAAAAGTTCAACAGGCAACATTGCCGATATTTTCATCGATTGTTTCGTGGAAATTCATTTTCTTATTGCGCAAATTCAAGTAAAACTATGTTCACATATCAATATTATCTCAATCAAAGCTCATTTTTTAATCACCCCGTTTACACAGGCAAATCTCAGATTATTAGCCGTCAAATTTGTTGTGCTAGTTATTCTCACATCTCAAGGAAAATTTATGTTTCTTCTCTGTGCCACCGTGATCACGTTTTTCTGCTATACTAAGCAATATAAATATATTTTAACTTAACATTTTATTAAAAATACCTTTACAAACCTCTTTCACTTGCTAGCGTACATTTTTGTTTACTTTTACATTTGGCATTTCTCCTCTCTTCCGCAAAACAATCGATAAAACTAGGATGGACACCGAAAAGTTATCGGTTAAATCTGAGATTTTTTTATAATAGTTGCGTTCGATAACAAAATTAGCCAACACCAGCCAACAATCAAAATGAAGAGAGTAAGCGAAAATTCTCTCCCAAAGAGAAGAAAAAGCAAAAAAGTAAACGAATAGGAAATTAGCCATCACTTGCAAAAACC